ACACTGAAACACTGAAACACTGAAACACTGAAACACTGAAATACTGAAACACTGAAAACACTGACACACAAAAACACAGAAGCACAAAACACTGAAACACTGAAACACTGACACACAAAACACTGAAACACTGAAGCACTGAAACACTGAAACACTGACACACAAAAACACAAAACACTGAAACACTGACACCCAAAACACTGAAACACTGAAACACTGAAACACTGAAACACTGACACACAAAAACACAAAACACTGAAACACTGAAACACTGACACCCAAAACACTGAAACACTGAAACACTGAAACACTGAAACACTGACACACAAAAACACAAAACACTGAAACACTGAAACACTGACACCCAAAACACTGAAACACTGAAACACTGAAACACTGAAAACACTAAAACACTGAAACACTGAAACACTGACACACAAAAAACACAAAACACTGAAACACTGGAACACTGACACACAAAACACTGAAAACACTAAAACACTGAAACACTGAAACACAAAAACACTGAAACACTGAAACACTGACACACAAAACACAAAACACTGAAACACTGAAACACTGACACACGTAAACACAAAACACTGAAACACTGAAACACAGAAACACTGAAACACTGAAAACACTGACACACAAAAACACAGAAGCACAAAACACTGAAACACTGGAACACTGACACACAAAACACTGAAAACACTAAAACACTGAAACACTGAAACACAAAAACACTGAAACACAGAAACACTGACACACAAAACACAAAACACTGAAACACTGAAACACTGACACACATAAACACAAAACACTGAAACACTGAAACACAGAAACACTGAAACACTGAAACACTGAAACACTGAAACACCGACACACAGAAAACTATTAAACAGCCCTGCTATATACTATGACCATTCTTTACTTATTTATAATATGGTTCAAATGGAGTAATTTGAGTTGTCTGATGCACTTGATACAATTTTACTTTTTAAAATACTGATGTGTTTATTCAAAACCATTTCAACACACAGTGTCATGACTTTTTCAGGATCTTTTTGTCAAACTATACTATGTTGAAAAGCACATAATGACTTGTTTAAGACTCGTTTTGTCAAAGTTTAGGACTTGGACTTGACTTGAACTTGCCCATCCTGACTTGAGACTTGACTTGGACTTGAGCACAAAGACTTGAGACTTGACTCGGACTTGAGCGCAAAGACTTGAGACTTGACTCGGACTTGCAAAACAATGACTTGGTCCCACCTCTGGTCTACGCCCAGCTGCAGTCTTTTTTAACCACGCATGGAATCCATGAAAAGTTTCAGTCTGGCTTCAAACCCATGCACAGCACTGAAACAGCCCTTTGAAGAGTTTTTAATGATCTGCTCCTAGCCGCCGACTCAGGTAGCCCAGCTGTCTTGGTGCTGTTAGATCTGACAGCTGCCTTTGACACTGTGGACCATAGCATCCTGCTGTCACGGCTTGAACAGTCCACTGGCATCACAGGCTCTGCCCTTGCATGGTTCAGGTCCTACCTGACAGACCGTAGCTTCTTAGTGCAGCTAGGTGCCTTCTCCTCAGCCATAGCCCCTCTTACCTGTGGGGTTCCCCAAGGCTCGATTCTGGGCCCCATCCTTTTTCTACTGTACATACTGCCCCTAGGTTCAATTCTCACAAAACACAACATCCCCTTCCACTGCTACGCCGACGATGTACAGATCTATCTGCCACTCAATTCAAATGTTAACTCACTACAGCAGCTGATGGACTGCTTAGCAGAGATCAAATCCTGGCTGAGCCAAAACTTTCTCAACCTCAACGAGAACAAGACCGAGGTCATCTTTTTTGGACCGCAACCTCCAGCCTCTCCGGTTGATATTCTGGGCTCTCAAAAAAAACATCCTCCCCTCGGTCATGAACCTTGGAGTGACCTTCACTAGCACTTTTAAATTCGACAAGCAGGTCAGCACCGTAGTCAAATCCTGCTTTTTTTAAATAAGACTATTGGCCAAAACCAAGTCGTATTTATCTTTTAATGACTTAGAAAGGGTTATTAACGCCTTTGTAACCTCGAGACTGGACTATTGCAACGCTCTGTATGTGGGTATGGACCAGGCCTCAATTAAACGCCTGCAGCTAGTCCAAAACGCAGCTGCACGTTTGCTGACTGGCCACAAAAAGCGCGACCACATCACCCCTATTCTGGCCTCACTACACTGGCTTCCAGTTCGGTTCAGAATTGATTTTAAAATCCTTTTATTTGTTTTTAAAGCACTAAATGGGCTGGCTCCGGCCTATATAGCTGAACTGCTCCAGCGCTACACCCCAGCCAGAGCTTTAAGGTCTGCTGACCAGCTGCTGCTGGTAGTGCCCAAGACCAGGCTAAAAACCCGAGGGCACCGAGCCTTCGCAGCAGCTGGCCCTAGGCTCTGGAACACTCTGCCCCTCCATGTGAGGTCGGCCCAGACCCTAGGGGTTTTTAAATCTACACTAAAAACACACTTCTTCTCTCTGGCCTTCTAGCCTTTTCTTATCAAGCTCCACTTTCGTGGAATCAGCTTCCAGTTTGTGTTCGGGCGGCCGACAGCCTATCCGTTTTATTGGTACGCTTACGACCTTCCTTTTTGAAAAAGCTTATAGTTGATATAATAATCTAATAAGACTGCATTGACGTAGATACGCTGTGCCTCTTCACCTACATTTTGGTTCTTGCTCTTTCATTTAAATCCTAAAAACTTGGATCGTATATTGAAAAATAAGGTTATTACTACTACTCATTCTTCTAAATCTGTTCTCTCTCTAATTCTCATACTCTCTACTCCTGTAATCGATTCTTTCTATCCTCTCTTTATCTAAACCCTTTTCCCTCTCTGACCTCTCCAGGTTTTATTAGAGGGAAACAGGTTTGCAGAGTGGCTTATCCAGGCCGGGGAGTGTTATGACCATATTCACAGCATACCTCCCTACCTCTGCTCAATTTCCAACTAAGGCTCCAGTGGGGCCTTTGTTCCCTGCGTGTGCCTCTCCACCTCTGTTTCTTACTCTCTTACTTGCTACCCTTTTCCCTTAACCTATCCTAAGGGAGCGCTTGTTCTTCCTTCTGTCTGTCTGTGTCTGTGTATTCTCATGTTCCGATTAACCCAGCCTCTCCCAAATTTCTTGTTTTGTGTCTATATCTATGCCGGGATCCGGAGTCGAGGCTGATCCTCTTGCTGTGGTCCTGTGCCCTGGAACCTCTATCCTGAGTTCTGGATTAAGTCGTGGACTTCGGGTCGTGGCTGGGCCTGTCTCTGCGGTCCTGCCTGGGTCTCGTCATGCTGCTTCCCTGATGGCTCCCACAGGATTGTTGACATCCTCGTGGATTCATCTTCTTATTATAGACACATGCATTTCCAAACATTTGGTCTACCTACGCTCCCATGTTCCCCTTTAAACTGTGGGTTTTTCTCCGGAGGTTTTTCCTTGTACGATGTGAGGGTCTAAGGACAGAGGGTGTCGTTTTTTCTCATACTGATATTCTGCACAAACTGTGCTGTTGTATTTGCTGTAAAGTGTCTTTACTGTAGGGTATTTTTATTATATGTACAGCACTTTGGCTCGACCAAAAATCGTTTAAAAATGTGCTATATGAATAAAACTTGATTTGATTTGATTTGAACTATGCTCATCTCTGCAGGTGTCTGCTTGGTTTTAGGAGTAAGGTAAGAATAGCCTTAACCTGGAAAAGGCTCGCAGTAGTTGTATAATGGTTTGATATTTATATGAGAGTGAAAAAACCCTAAGGTTAAAGCTGTACTTTCATTAGGACATATCTTGGTTTTTGATATTGGCTTGATTTTCTTTTGTGTTGTAGAGCCGATGAATGGGAGTCAGAGGCGATGTGTTCAGTATGGAACTCCACACTTTATTTTCCATTCGTTTACAGAAAGGTAGGAACATCTGCTACCTGCTACTGTCAAGCTAGAATGAATACAACAACACGGTACCGGAGCGCACCTATGATTTTGAATCTTATGTAACTGCTGTCCAGAGGTGGGAGAATAACTCACATCTTGTACTTAAGTAAAAGTAAAAGTACCAGAGTGTATGCATACTCTGTTACATTAAAAGTCCTGCATTAATGTTACTCAAGTTAAAGTAGAAAAGTATTAGCATCAAAATATAAATTAATATAAACACTCCAGACAGAATGGTCAAAGCAGTGTCAGTTAATAATTATAAACTAATGAATGAATGTGTGTGATTCTTACAGTACCTGCTGTCCACAGCTAACAGTATGAGAACGCTCCTTCACTGAATGAACTCCCGACAGCTAAAACACATTTCAGTGCAAACCCTGTTGCGTAACAGTAAGTACTAAACTATGTGACCATCTACCCTACGAAAGACAATACATATCATTTGTAATTTAAAAAAGGGCCACTTCTTTTTGTTAAAACCTTATCCTCAAACCGACTGCATTATTTTTTTTATAAGTATTGAAATGGCAGTATCTTGCTGATGTTAAATCTGTCTTTGTGTAGAAGTGCATTCTGTCTCTGTGGCAGCAGAGCTCATACAATGTCCAATAAGAGGAAACAGTGTACAGATCCTAAACTCTGGCTATCGTAGACCCTACAGTAATACAATATGCTTCTCATACCGAAGACAGGTGTTTACTGAAGACAGGAGAGCAGGCTATGATTGGTTGTTCATCGTCACATGACAAGCGGTGCGCACTGCCTTGTCCAAAAGTGATACTACTTTCAACTAAGGACACAGCCTTGTCTACATTGACAATAGTCAACAAAACATGGCATGTGATCGTCACCGCAAGCATTCTGCAAATATTATTTTTCCTCAGAAGAAGAGGAACCGAAAACCCCTGCCCTTCCTACTCAGTAAATAGAGATCACAACTTTCATGCCAACTTTTAAACAGGACGCAATAGACCATGGTTTCTTTATTTAACTGAGTTTTAATGTTGTTATAGCATTCCAACAATGACAACTCCCTTCCAAGATGTGGAATCAGATAGAAAGAGAGGTGGGAGAGTATAAATGATCTGTGTTCAGACAAAGAACTGACTCATTTGGTTTCTGGCTTTTGAGCTTTGGTCTCTCTGAAACACTTGAACTCCGCTCATCTCTGAGGGTGTCTGCCTGGTCTTAAGAGTAAGGTGAGAATACATAGTGAAAACACCCTAAGGTTAAAGCTGTACTTTCATTTTGACATACAGTATCTTGGTATTTGATTTTGGCTTGATTTAGTTTGATGTTCTGTTATATGCAGGGGTGTAGTGATATGTTTACAAGTCTTTGTGTAGAAGTGCATTGTGTCTGAATACAATAGGTGAAATCAACAATGAAGACACAAGTTAAGAACAAATTGAATCAAGCAGGTACTGTAGATCAGCTGTAAATAAGACAGACTATTCTAAGTGCTGCAGAGACATTAGAAAGACAGTAATGTTGCATCACTTTAGAGTTCATGGGGAACTCACCTGGAGGAAAACATGAATACTGTGGTGGCGTTTTAATCCGTGTCTACATTTAATAGCCACATCTCTGTCGGGGTTGTGGGTTTTGACGCGCCTCTCTTTGTTTCCAAAGGAATGTAGCGGAGATCGTTGTTGAATCAGATGAGCTTTATTCATTGGTCCAGACGGCATAGAAACAGGAAGACACATTTCCTCGCTTCATAGCAACTAAGTTATCAGTATCCACAAAAGAACAAAAAGAACACGATCAAAATACTTTACCGCTTCCCCGTCTCATCCCCATCAGCTGTGTCCCCTTGTCCTGCCATATCCAGGCATTTAGCCGTGCACGTGATACCTGACGCACATTTGACAACAAATAAGTGAGCCTTAAATTAATATCTTTTAAACCATAGTATGACTCACAAAAATAAATGATTAAGAGTTTAATCTAAATCTTTATATTATTATTAAGCCTAACGTTCAGACCATAGTAATGAAATGAAAATGGCTCTAACAAATACTTTCAGACGTAAAAAGGAGGAAATAGCACAATACTGGCTTTTTTAATGTAGTGGAGTAGAAATGTAAAAAAGTAAATTGTGCTTCAGGACATTGCCTGACTAAATGTTCCAACAGGGGAAAAGACTGCGTTCAGGATCAGGTGCATCACAGTATAACTATTACATGATAACTGTCCATCTGTCTTACAGTCAAGATTTAAAATTATAACTGCTTTAACATTGATTATAAGTATTTTTAACTATATATAAATGTGGTTTCATAATTCGTTTATATACTGTATTATAACTTTGCTAACTATTAGAAGTTCTCTTGTTTAATGGTATTCTAAAGTAATGCTCATATGGATGTAGCTTAAATGTATTTGTTGTTTTGTGTCTTTCTGTAGCTCTTACGTTGGTTTTTGGAGTTTTCAATAAAATAGAAATCATCAGTCATGTGTACGACCATCTTTCGGAGGGATATGGTACAGTTTATATAATAAAATATCGATACTTGGCGTCCGTGTATCGATACACATGCGAATGAAGTTCATATCTTTGATGAAAGATGGGTAAATTACAGCACACAAAACGTTTATAATGACCAGGTGAACATATGAAAAGGATCACAGAGCATGCGCCCCTTAAGCCCCGCCCCCCGAGCTCCCTACTGAAGCCTTCTGAGTAAATGGCCAGAACACCGACACCTCCTCATCTCCACCGCTCCCATGTTTTTTTTTGTGTTGCCATAAGTTAGTCTCTCTCCGTTGGTGTGCGGGGCTAATGCTAATGCTAATAATGCTGATGCGAGCAAATAAAAATGGCGACTTCACAAAACCTTTCAGAGTTTTACGGGGCGTGGTTTGCAATTCGCCCAGCCAATCAGAAATGTGGAACTTGTTTCTCCACAGGAAAGTACCACCTCTCTAGCAGGGACTAAGAAGGGGGGTAAAGTTCTCATCAACTAAGTTCTCTTTTTGGTGTGAACGCAAAATCCCAGGAACTATCGGAACTAAAAGGGAAAAGTACTCCGGTGTGAAAGCGCCTAATGGGGTCAGCTGCAGCTCACAGAATCAGCCCCCTGCAAAGACAGGGCTGGAAAGAGCAAAATGGAGCGAAATGAGGCATGGCTAAAATGCAGGATCTGTTTGGTATTTTGAAAAAAAAACTATATTTATATACTTTATATAGGTATGGCCCTATAATATATTGTTCAAATATAGCATGATAGGTCCACTTTAATGAAATTTGCCTGAAACGTATTTTTTCTCCACGTTGAGTTTATTGAGTGGATTTTTACTCTCTCTCTTTCTCTCTTTCCAAATTCAGACCTTTACGACAACGCATTGGAGGATCTGTGAGCTGAGCTGATATCACACTCAAGACACTTCAACGTGAGTACCTTTTGATTTACAAATATATTCAGAGGTGGGAGAAGTACTCAGGTCTTGTACTTGAGTGAAAGTAGAAGTACTCAGATCTGTACTTGAGTAAAAGTAGAAGTACTCAGATCTTGTAGTAAAAGTAGAAGTACTCAGATCTTGTACTTGAGTAAAAGTAGAAGTACTCAGATCTGTACTTGAGTAAAAGTAGAAGTACTCAGATCTTGTACTTGAGTAAAAGTAGAAGTACTCAGATCTGTACTTGAGTAAAAGTAGAAGTACTCAGATCTTGTACTTGAGTAAAAGTAGAAGTACTCAGATCTGTACTTGAGTAAAAGTAGAAGTACTCAGGTCTTGTACTTGAGTAAAAGTAGAAGAAGTACTCAGATCTTGTAGTAAAAGTAGAAGTACTCAGGTCTTGTACTTGAGTAAAAGTAGAAGTACTCAGATCTTGTACTTGAGTAAAAGTAGAAGTACTCAGATCTGTCCTTGAGTAAAAGTAGAAGTACTCAGATCTTGTACTTGAGTAAAAGTAGAAGTACTCAGATCTTGTACTTGAGTAAAAGTAGAAGTACTCAGATCTGTACTTGAGTAAAAGTAGAAGTACTCAGGTCTTGTACTTGAGTAAAAGTAGAAGTACTCAGATCTTGTACTTGAGTAAAAGTAGAAGTACCAGAGTGTAGGAATACTCTGTTTCAGTAAAAGTCCTGCATTCAAAATGTTCCTCAAGTAAAAGTACAAAAGTATTATCATCAAAATATAGTGAAAGTAGCGACAGTAAAAGTAGTCATTGTGCAGATTGGTCCATTTCAGAATAATATATATGATATGTTTTATAATGATTGATCATGAAAGTGTTCTCAAAGCTGGTAAAGGTGCAGCTAGTTTGAATGACTTTGTATACTGCAGGGTAGCTTGTGAATTTACTCCAGGTGGAACTAAAGTCTGATTTAACACTTGATTATATTTCACATCATTCATCCACATCTGTGAAGTGACTAAAGGTATTAAATACATGTAGTGGAGTAGAAGTACAACATTTACCTCTGAACTGTAGTGGAGTAGAAGTACAAAGTAGCATAAACTGGAAATACTCAAGTAAAGTACAAGTACCTCAAAATTGTACTTAAGTACAGTCTTTGAGTAAATCTACTTAGTTACTTTACAACACTGAATATATTCTCCTTAAGCAATGAAAGTGCGTAAGTGACTGACACCACTAACCCGTCCTCCTAAGACGACTGAAATCTATTACAATATGTTGGAGTTCAATTTTGTTTCGTGACTTTACCACTCAGTCAAAGCAAACATTACAAATATTTAATATTCTTAATATAATAATTGCATTTTGACCCAAAGAGGACATTGTGGGAAAACCAACAAATCACTTTGAATTACCTTTGTGTTTGAAAAGTGCAATACAAATAAAGTTTGATTTGATTACCAAGTATTTAAAAAATATGTCTCTGTTAGTCCCAGGATGCGTCTGCTCTGTGCTCTGGGTCTCTTCTTGGCCCTGCTGCATGTGACCTCCTGTCTGCTGATTGGAGCCTTCAATATTGAAAACTTTGGACACGGGAAATTCAATAAAGAAGTCACGACTCCAAAAGGGATCATCAAAGCGATAGACATCATCACAGAGGTCTGAAACTCAATTTGGTATCCAATACTTATTTGTTCTTCGTTGTTTTGACTGTATCTTGGCAAGTGAAACATAGTAACCCTCTTCCTGTTTAAGTTTCCTTTTCTTGGAAAACAATGATTGTTTTGTGAGGTAATGGTAATTTTAAACATAATGCTGAAGTGCAGCACTAAACAGCTACGGTGGCCAGCAGGTGTAAACGTGCTGCTACGGCCCAAACTCTTCCATCAGGAGAAACACGCTGCAGCTTCAGAAAGGATGCAGATATAAAAACACATGAAGAAACATCTCCAGCAACTTGACAACACATGCAGCTTTTAGAGAACATTCAGCACCTTGAGGAGACATGTACAGAGTTTACTAGACTTCTGTCTGTCTTCTTCTGCTGTTCCCTTTAGTGTTCACTTCCTGTCTGTCTTCTTCTGCTGTTCCCTTTAGTGTTCACTTCCTGTGAGTCTTCTTCTGCTGTTCCCTTTAGTGTTCACTTCCTGTCTGTCTTCTTCTGCTGTTCCCTTTAGTGTTTACTTCCTGTCTGTCTTCTTCTGCTGTTCCCTTTAGTGTTTACTTCCTGTCTGTCTTCTTCTGCTGTTCCCTTTAGTGTTTACTTCCTGTCTGTCTTCTTCTGCTGTTCCCTTCAGTGTTCACTTCCTGGCTGTCTTCTTCTGCTGTTCCCTTTAGTGTTTACTTCCTGTCTGTCTTCTTCTGCTGTTCCCTTCAGTGTTCACTTCCTGTCTGTCTTCTTCTGGTGTTCCCTTCAGTGTTCACTTCCTGTCTGTCTTCTTCTGCTGTTCCCTTTAGTGTTTACTTCCTGTCTGTCTTCTTCTGCTGTTCCCTTCAGTGTTTACTTCCTGTCTGTCTTCTTCTGCTGTTCCCTTCAGTGTTCACTTCCTGTCTGTCTTCTTCTGCTGTTCCCTTTAGTGTTTACTTCTGTCTGTCTACTTCTGCTGTTCCCTTTAGTGTTTACTTCTGTCTGTCTTCTTCTGCTGGTCCCTTTAGTGTTCACTTCCTGTCTGTCTTCTTCTGCTGTTCCCTTCAGTGTTTACTTCCTGTCTTTCTTCTTCTGCTGGTCCCTTTAGTGTTCACTTCCTGTCTGTCTGTCTTCTTCTGCTGCTGTTCCCTTCAGTGTTTACTTCCTGTCTTTCTTCTTCTGCTGTTCCCTTCAGTGTTCACTTCCTGTCTTCTTCTGCTGTTCCCTTTAGTGTTTACTTCTGCCTGTCTTCTTCTGCTGTTACCTTTAGTGTTTACTTCTGTCTGTCTTCTTCTACTGTTCCCTTTAGTGTTCACTTCCTGTCTGTCTTCTTCTGCTGTTCCCTTTAGTGTTCACTTCCTGTCTGTCTTCTTCTGCTCTTCCCTTTAGTGTTCACTTCCTGTCTGTCTTCTTCTGCTGTTTCCTTTAGTACTTCCGTCAGAATTGACCAATCAGAATTTTTTTCTTCAGATTGTCCAGCGCTATGACATCATTCTGATCCAGGAGCTCCGCGACAAAGATGGCACAGTAACCGAAAGACTCATGGAGCTTGTTAACAAGTAAGACGTATGAAGAGCAAACACAGTATTCTAACACACACACACACTGTGAGGGCTGCTTCATTAATCTAAATGTTATATTGACTACTGCAATATCCAAATCTCAGTAATCGCAGTATTTTGGCAAAACGAGTGAAAATATCTGAATGAAGTATTGTGGAGAAGTCCTGGCCTACAAACAGTATTCTATAGACTTAGGTTAAGTTTGTAAAAAGTTTGACAGATCATCAACTCGAATTAAGATTTAAGATAAACAAAAGGTATGTATATGTCTCCCCAGAGGTTCTCATCAGTTCAGAAACATCTCCAGTGGTTACCTGGGTCCCAGCAGCCGTAAGGAGAGATACCTCTTCCTCTACAGGTAAAACACAAAAGGGCAAAATCAAAACACCAACAGTTAAATGATCTTCTGTATGTATTGCTTTGTTAATTCCCCAGATCAGTGAGCAGAAAGAGAAAACATGTGTTTTGATAAAGAGTGTAAACAGCATAGAAAATGCTCCAGGAGTTGTGTGAATATGTGACCATGAGAACGAGTCGATGAACTCGATCCACTGTTTGGAGACGTCTTCAAAATTAAGAATTCCATCTTTCCTCTGCAGCGATGAGACGGTGACCGTGAAAGATCAAGAAGACAGCTTCCAATACGATGACACGGCAGGCGTCTTCGACAGACCGCCCTTCGTCGTCAAGTTTTCCTCCACACAGACCGGTATTAGAGGAGAGACTCTGTTCTTTCACTGGAAATGTAGATTATCTATTATAGAGAACTAAGCACCAGACTTGTGTGAGAGGAGATCCTGAGGTCTGTCCGTCACCAACACCACTTTAAAAACTCTATCATTCAGTCGGTTTTATATTTTCTGTTACATTTACCTCAGTCAGTGCCAAATTAAAAATACCTACTTTTTCAAGTTTCAAGTCTTTCCTGCCAGATTTTAAAGACTTAATTTGTGTTAGTGGTTGAATGTGATGAAGCACATTTACTTACTTTAACGGTATTTCTTCTGTTGTCATTGTCTCTCTTCATTCACTCCTCTCTCTCTCCTGGTCTCCAGGTAAGGAATTTGTTCTGATCCCCATTCACACCCAAACGGACAAAGCTGTAAAAGAAATTGATGCCCTTGTTGACGTGGTGAAGGAGGCCAAACTCAAATGGACGAACAATGTAATACCCCGTACAAGACATACAATACAACCGTAGAAACACACTCAAAACAAAAGAAGAGATCTTTCAAAAAAGAATTGTCAAATAAAACGTAATATCTCAAAATATTAACTTAAATCTCCATCATGACTCACATAGAGAAGTTCTTTCTGGTGTAAAATGAGTGGACGTCAGAGAGCAACATTTAGATAGGAGGAGATTACATTTGTGTTTTTCAGATTGCCCATTACCATGACATTATTCTGATCTAGTTTGCAAATAATTAGTTTGAGCCGTTTCCCTCTGCCTGCAGAACATCATGGTGCTCGGAGACTTCAACGCAGGCGGAGCGTATGTCAAAGTCAACAAAAGGAATAACAAAAGCGACTGGGATGATATCCGCCTCTTCACCGACAAGGAATTCTACTGGCTGATCAAGGACAACGTTGCCACTACATTGGCAGAAAAGCCTATACAGACTCATGACAGGTGAACACACACAGATAATCACGAAGACACTTGCATGCACACACACACACTCTTAATCCCGCCTCTCTTCCTGTTTCTGCAGGATTGTCGTCACCACTGAAATGAACAAGGGAGTGGTGAAAGCTGAGGTCTTTAACTTCATAAAGGCATATCATCCGAAGGAGGTACGTTCACACTGGACCGCGTCACGATTACATGTAAAGTCAATTCATGGATGCGGAAAGACAAAAACATTTGTGGCGAAAGTTTTTTCATCTCGATCTTCAAATTTGCGTGACGCTGTCTCACGACATCCTCCTCGCCAGCGCATCTTGTTTGAGTGACGCATTTTATTGAAACAACACACATTTAAATGGCATGTTCAGAAGTCAGTACATGTGAAGCACTTACTCATTTAACCATCAATCAATAAACACATGTATTGTACAAACTTAAACTATAAAGTGCATCAGACACCTCAAATCACTCCATGTGAGCCATATTTAGAATCTCACTCATTTAACTAAAGTAATTCAGCCTAAGTGTACGTAACTAAAATAAAGCATGACTGCATATTATTTCAGTGAAGATCAGCATTTTATCAAATGAAATATTTGACATTTTGAAATAGCATCAGACCTTAATGATCATTCCATGTGAGCCATAGATAATCTAACTAACACAAAACAGCTATTTCAAGACGTTTCCTTTGCTCTGACATCTAATGTCACTGTGGATGAGCAAATCATTATATTGAGCTGATAACAGATGAACAGATGAAGTTATTAGGCGTGCAGAGATGTGAGAGTTGACAGGAGTAGTCACTACAGTCAGGAACTAGATTACTTGATTTCTAGATTAAGTAATGCTTGTGATTTTTTGAACTATTGAGTTGACAATCTAAAAAAACATCTTGTGCAAAGAAACCACCTGTTAGAAGTTTACCTGAGACTATGTTCTGTATGCCAAGTTGGAAGAACAACAAATGTTGAAATAATGTTTTCTCTGTTTCTCTCAGGCACGTGCTGTCAGTAACCATTTCCCTGTGGAGGTGGAGCTGAAGCCGGAGCTGTTAGAATGATCTGTCAGAAACCTGAAAAAGACCCAGCATTTCCTTCTGAATCCGAATTAGGATTACCCAGTTGGAGTATTTCTGGAACCCATGCAGCATTGAAAAAGAATAAAAAAATGATTTCATTGCAAACTTGTGTTTTTGAAACAGGAGAGTGAAGTGTCTCATTGTAGTGTTTATAAAAGGTGAGGTAAATGAAACATGATGATTGAGAGCATTAACCAAGAGATCTTTTATAGGAAATGGATATCAGTTTCTACTGAAGAGAAAGACAATGTGTATCCAGAGTAACTCGGACAATGACTCTCAAGTTTAGTTTAATATTTAGTGGTTTACTTGAGTCAATGAGCAGCATTCTCACATAAGGTCACACGTCAGAAGGGTTAGCATTCATGTGAATAGCAATCACCCATTCGTGTAAAAGAGAACTAAATAATGGGATGTTCTTATAAAGTCGGTAACTCCTGGAGAGTGGAGGTTATTGCATTTACGCTAAATCAGTGCAGTCAGTTTCTATTAATTATTTAAAGAGTTTTTCAGCCCCTTTCACACCGGCGTTTTTTCCTGTTCACACCGCAGCGGTGCCGCCTCTTAGCTCCGGAATGCGGTTCACTTCCAGCTCCAAAAAATTGTCGGTCTAGAGGCAAGAGCTTCGGAGCTAGAGGCGGCGTCGCTTACGTCTCTCTTACGTCGAGGCGTGCAGGAAACTAAACCCACCTACCCTGAACATGCCATGGGTCGACTGAAGAGTCTCGTCATGCCTGCCTACAAGCAGTAGCGCTGAGCAAAGTGACTAGAAGGCAACCACACACTTATAAAAAAAAAACACACTTTATAAAGTCAGGCAACACTAACCAGGCTTCCCCCCCCCCCCCCCCCCCCGTTGTTGTTGTTGTTGTTGTGAGCTCCGTTGGGGAGAAAATCAGCGATGTAAACGGTGACGTCATGACGCAGCAGCGGCAGCTGGGCGATGTGAACAGAGCGGGAGCTGAAAAGGGAAACCGGAGCTGAACCAGAAAAGCTCTAGCTAGGAGCTAGAAAGGGAAAAGCGCTGGTGTGAAAGCCGCATGTGTTTCTCTTTCCACCTTTATCCAGCAAAGCTCATTTCTTGCATATGTGAACCTCCCTGGCAGTCAGCCTGATTCTGAATACAGGATGCACATCTAGTCAATCTATTTCATTTGATTTATACAGCCCAACATGAAAACCTGTACCACAGACAATCCAGATGTCAAAAGAGAGAACGCCCCTTATCAATGGAAGAATTCAGTGTGTGTAGAAAATTATACATTTGAAAGTACATTTTTGCGTATTTATTTTGCGCTTTGGTTGCGTTTCCACTTGGCCTAGTACCGGCCGGCGGGTCCTAATTCACAGTTTTTCTGGCCTCATAAAATCGTGGGTCTAGGGCCAGAAACAACGAGGCTGAGTCGGGCTGAGTATGCTAAACTAGAGAGAGCATCGCTGGCAAGGGGGCTACAACTACAACAAGATGGACATATTTGACCGTGATTTAATTGTAATACACGTTTCAAAATGATGCCGAAGTAACAACATACTGATACCGGTTAGTAAAAACCATGAATTAATGCTTTGTCAAGTCTGCAGACAGACGGCAGGCGAAAACCTTTTAAAATGCGTGTTTTCTAGATGGAGATTGGCTAAGCTAACGCAGTATATGCTCCGACCGTCCACACTCACAACAACGGCCTATACAGACATAAATAAAGCAGCGAGTGTATTTGCCATGACACAGGCAGTCTGTGGTTTGTACTTGTTTAACTTTTGTCTAGTTTCTGAACAGATATGAGGAGCTGTGAGCTCTGAGTGCTAACAGCTAACGGCTGTGTTGTTTTTCTGGGGTTCTCATTGAAGATGACGTCACGGCTCCGCCTACACTGCGTTACTATAGATCAGGGGTCTCCAACCTTTCTTCATCTGAGAGCTACTTTGAAAAAATGAAAGTGGCCAAGAGCTACTTGCATCACATCGCTTACATTTATTCACATAGCCCTCATCAGTTGAATTAAGCTATACTTTTGTACACGTGTGAAATTGCAATACCTAAAGCTTATCAAAAATCTTAACTTCACATCAAGGTCCAAGAAAACGAAGATTTCTCACATATTATTATGGCCCACATAGTGAGTACATCACTGAACATTCACATAAGTGTCCTTAATCACCACCTTACAAGCATTTCACTCTTTTGTTAGTGAGATGAATGGCACTGCATGCAGTCCACCATACAGGTGTCTGCTGGAGTGTACCCATGTAGGTTCACTCTAATGGAGTCATTTAAATGTTCATCAGTCGGTCTTGTTCTGTATTTAGATTTCATTCATGTCAGAAAAAGCAGCTTCACAAAGGTATGTAGAACAGAACCAAATAAAGCAGACATTTTCAGTGCTGCTTGGTGAATGTTCTTATAGTTTTCTGGGTCTACAAGGCTCCAGAAATGTTGTGAGTTTTGCTGAGACTTAAGCTGAACATTATTTTGGAGATCTCCACAGGATTGACACTGAACAGTTGTTCAGCCATCTTTTTCTTCTTCTTCTTCTTCGTCTTGACATTAAATTATAAACCATAATAAATCAAGTGTATAGGTCTAGCCTCCCTATATCTGTGTGTGAAGTTGTTCCATCCTCAAAAACAAAAAACTAATACTTCTGCAGTCTAGCTGCAGCTTCTAGCTACGGTCTTCTGTTAAAAAAAAGACACTGAATGTCCTGAATGTGGCATCACAAACATGACTTAAGTCTGAACACAGCAGACAACAGGAGTATTTACAACAGCATTATAAAAACAAAAATAGTGCATGTGGGTGCACACTTACATTCTCTGTCTTACTGTTACATAAATCCCATGAATGTATGAGATTAGGTTAGCTTCATTATATCTCAATCAGTGATTAAGTGAATAATAAAGTTTCTATCGGGTCACTATCAGCCTGTCACTCATTATTTTCAGGGAGGGGGCGGGGTTTGGAGGAACGGAGAGGAGACGGTGATCGCGGAAGCTTTCCTCCTGCCTTCACAAACTTTACACAAGTATTTATCAACTGAAAATAGCAAGAGGACATTCATACTCTGCAATCCAAGACTTGATTAAATCCACCAAAAACCTGACATGACGATAACGAGTGTTTTTCAAAAAACACAAATCCCTGTGTGTCTCTGAGGCGCAGCGACAGGGCCTGATTCAGAGCGGGTCATTCTGCTGTTAGTTCTGGACTGGTGCTGGTGGAGAAAGCAGACGTGTGTTCCGTGTGTGTTGTCGCTGTGCTGCTGTCACGTCTGTTCCTTGATCTCTGCGTCACCGACCATTTGATATTCGTGTGACAGAAAAAAATTCTAAAATAAAAAAACGTTATTGTCCAGCCGCGGCCGAAAAATCAATAAGCAACCTTACTACGCTATAATCGATAATCGAGCGGCGAGCTACTGAAAAGCTGCCCGCGAGCTACCGGTAGCTCGCGATCGACGTGTTGGAGAGCCCTGCTATAGATACTACCCCAGTTCCTAAACTGTAATGGAAATGCGCCATAAAGTGAGCCAGTCCTAACGAGGCCTAGCCATACCGAGCGGGGCCGAGCGAGGCCGTGTAGTGGAAATGCGCCATTAGTGGACTGCTGGCTAATTGAAAATGATCACCTCTGAGATTTTGCGAAATGATTGGCGGTTTTAACTTTTTGTCATTTTTATTTATTTCTTCATTCTGGTATGAAGAAATGTAGAAATATGTCAGAACTGTTATATGAAAGTCTGAAATCCGATTAAAGTCAAGTTTATTTATATAGCACATTTAAAACAACCTCAGTTGAAAAAAGTGCTTTCCAGATCTAAAATAAGACAATCAGTAATCACTAAAAGAATAAAGGTGACAACAACTTAATAATTCTGTGAGCTTGCGAGCTGAGAATCTACAAGAAGCTTCATTGTGTTATTGCTAACACAGATCACGACTCATTGCTTATCAAGAAACAGGAACGCAAGCTTGAACATGTGTAACTTTCTTATCTGTTCTCACTCTTCCCTCTTAGTAAACACAGAACACAAATTGCCATGCTCATTTTTAAAGAGGGAGCAATAGACCCAGTTCTGGTTTTGAAGGTATTTCAAGGGGATTCTTGTAAGTACTTACAGTTTGTTTTCTTTCATTACGTATTATTTATAATTTCTTCATTTAACTTTGTTTAACTGTGTTTTTAACAAAGTGTTTAGGCTGGTCCCAGGCCTCTTATGGGATAGTTTAGTCCCCTCAAGGTCAAGGTGCTTAGAGGAAAGACTCATTGTGGCCGGTCCCAGGCCCACACATAGAGGTCTCACTAGTAGTTGATACAGCATAGTATCGCGATACTTTGCGTGGTGATATTGTATCGATACACAGACACCAATTATCAATATTTTATTATATAAACTGTAGCATATCCCTCCGAAAGATGGTCGTACACTTGACTAATGATTTCTATTTTATTGAAAACTCCAAAAACCAACGTAAGAGCTACACAAAGACACAACACAACAAATACATTTAAGCTACATCCATATGAGCATTACTTTAGAATACCATTAAACAAGAGAACTTCAAATAGTTAACAAAGTTATCAGAGGCGCACCTTGCGAACAGGCAATGCAGGCAACTGCTTGGAAGGTAGATTAAGAAGGTCCACAGCAACGACAACATGAAACACTGTTACGTCCCCACTAAGGTCTAGGGGACCTGGAGACAATAACACACAACAACCAATACAAATGAGGGAGTCAGCGTAAAGGTTGACAAAAGGTTTATTTCTTGTAAATCTAGAACTGAACAGAAATTGAACAGCAATACTCTTTGTGTGAGGAGGAGGAGGAGGAGGAGGAGGAGGAGGAGGAGGAGGAGGAGGAGTCAAAGGAGACTGTGCCAAACAAAAGAAACAAGCATAACAAAACCAGGCCTATCTCTACATCTATCCTTTGAAATCAAAACTCAAACCCTCACTAACTAACCTACTCAGAACTGGACAAAACAGAATACAGGGGTGGCAACAATCCGCTAACCTAGTGTGTCTAAACATTAGTTATCTACGTGATGAGAAATGTACAGGGTACCCCAGACTTACCTAACTCCTCCACCTCTCAACA